TTATGTAATATTATGTTATATTATATTATTATGTAGTAATATTATTATTATTAGTAGTAGTAGTATTATTATTATGGATTACACTGGGTTATAAATGGAAAGAATAAATGAATGAACAAACCAACAGCCCTCCCTTCACCTTGGAAAATTACCGAATGCCTTGGCCATTCACTCTCTCTTGGTTCAATTTACCTCACAGGGTTGCTGTTTGGAGGATAAAGCAAAAGGGAATTACCTCAGCTCTTTGGAGGAGAGGCAGGATATTCTATTAAGCAACCTAATCAAGAAATTTCAAATATTCTTGCTATTTTGGAAATAGTGCTATAGCCTAAAATAGGCTTCATGCTGCATTTTTAAAAATAGAAAAAAAAAAAGCTCTTTAGCTCCCTACCCAAATTGAAGGAGAGAACATAGAACATATAGAACGTGGGAATCATAGGGCTGGCAGTCTTCTAGTCCAACCCTGAGTATAGACAGTATACTAAATAGCATATTGCCCCCTAATAATCTGGGTCCTCATTTTACCCACCTCGGAAGGATGGAAGGCTGAGTCAACCTTGAGCCGGTGAGATTTGATCCGCTGATCTGCTGAACTAGCAGTCAGCTGAAGTAGCTGCAGTACTGTACTCTAACCACTGCGCCACCTCAGCTCTTCTTGTCAGTTCCTCTAATGCTTTTTAGAATAAGTCAAACCCCTCTTTCTCTGTGATAGCCCCTCAAGTGCTGGAAGACAGTTATGCCCCCCCAATCCTTCTTGACGACAGGCTAAATATACCATATTTTCGGAGTATAAGACGCACCTAACTTTTTTGGTGAGGAAAAGAAGAAAAAGAAATCTCCCTCTGCCTCTGAGCAATTTTGTCTCATTGCAGAAAACAGCAAACAGCCTGCTTTACTTTCATTTTCGTTTTCAGCATAGCTTGATTAGCACAAGGAAAAAAAAAATCTGCTCCAGCAATTTACCTCTTTGCAGCAAGCAGCAGAGCCCTGCGCAAAACAGCGGAGAGCAAATCAGCTGAGAGTTGGGAGGCCGATCCAATCAACTTGTGCTAATTAGGCTGTGCTGAAGCTGAAAGGAGATGTTTTTTCTTGCTGTTTGCTTGCAAGGAGGTAACTGCTGCAAGGCAGAGGCCAAAGGGTGGGGATCAGTGGATGGGCGGGGCTACATTTGGTGTATAAGACGCACCTAAATTTTCACCCCCTTTTAGGGGGCAAAAAGGTGTGTCTTATACTCCGAAAAATACGGTACCTAGCTCAGGGGTGAAATGCTACCGGTTCGGGCAAATCGGTAGTTAAAAAAAGCTATTGGTTCGTCTGAACCGGTATTTCCGATGATCAGCTGTGCCGCGTGGTTTATATTCGCTAGAAAGCAGGAAATCTTGCTTTCTAGTGAAGCTAAATCACGCGGCACAGCTGTTCCCCCCTCGCTGTTCTACTTACCTATTGAAGTCTAATTTTGGCGCATGCGCTGGCAGCAAACTGGTGGCGATCCACGGAGGATTTCACCACTGACCTAGCTCCCTCAACCGTTCATCGTACAATAAATGGACAGTAAAGCTGAAAATCCTTGTCCGTAAGTGGGACTCAGTTCTATTCCATCTGAATCATTCACTTCTAGTTTCGCCCTCTCTGAATGCTGTCAGTTCCAATAATCTTCCCAACGGAGACATGAAAGGACATGGAGAATCCAGAATCTGATTTTCCCTTCCCTCGGGGATGAGTGGAAAATCCTTTTGCTTCACTGCGGATTTACCCAATTCAAATTTCCTGAATAGTCTGACCTCATACAGTCTGACCATTTCCTATATCTAGTCTACACTTCTGGGTCATTAAGGGAGCTTTGTCTTGGCTGTAGGATTTCAATTCAGAAAAGCCACCATCCACACCATCCAAGTGTAGAGATTTATCTTTTGGTGTTTTTGTTTTTTGAAAAAAAAAATACTGTCTTGAGAATGGCAGTCTTTCAGGATAAATATCAATATTTATCCTGAAAGAGTGGATAAATATTGATATTTATATCAATAGGAGCCTGAGTGGCGTAGGAGGCTAATGCCTCCTACTAAGGCAGCATTTAACATCCAGCTGCCTGCAATTACTGCGAGTTCAATTCTCACCAGGCTCAAGGTCGACTCCGCCTTCCATCCTTTCTAAGGTGGGTAAAATGAGGACCCGGTTTGTGGGGGCAATAAGCTGACTTTGTATAAAATATACAAAAGTATGAAGGCTATTGCTTAATGCATTGTAAGCTGCCCTGAGTCTCCGGAGAAGGGTGGCATATAAAAATAAATAAAAATTAAAAAATATATATATACGAAGCTTAAACGTTGCTTCCTGTATCACAAATGTCACTTCAGGCTAAACCAGAGGAAGATGTGCTGACTCTTTAATGACATCCTGCTCGACTCTATCACCAACGTAGCCATTCTTAGTTTCTTTGGAAGGGGTGTGGGAAGTGTCAACTAGGAAATCCTGTTGGGTTTATTTCTAGCTGTAGTATTAGCCTTTTATTTCAGTCACTCAAAAAAAAAAATTAAAATAAAACAAAACAGAACAAACATCAAACCCCACACATTTTAAGAAACACCCTGTGACTGTGAGGCAGCCATTCTTTCAATAATGTCTTCAGGAAAAATAGAACAAGTCAAATCTTTGTGTTTTGTTTTGTGGTACACAGCAGTCACACTATTTTCATAAGCCACTCATAAGGGGGGGTCATAAAAATCAATATAATGTCAGCGATGGTGTGACTGAATCAGGGGTGGGTTCTAAATTTTTTAACTACCGGTTCTGTGGGCGTGGCTTATTTTGTGGGTGTGGCTTGGAGGTCATGTGACTAGGTGGGCGTGGCTAGCTGGTCAGAGTCATTTCTGGAAGGTCCTCGCACTTACGACCAGTCCTCGCACTTACGACCCGACTCATTTGTTTGCTTTTAACACTGATCAGCTGTAGGACGGCCCTTTGAAGCCCCGCGGCAAGAGTTTAAACAGTTTTTTTTCCCTCTAGTCATCAGCTGGGATTCAGGAGGCAGCAATAGATTGGGGGTGGGACCAAATAAAAGGTAAGAATGACGTGGGGGGGTGGGAGGGCGGGGGGGAGAACCGGTTCGGTGACATCAGATCGTCACCGCTACCAGTTCGGCCGAACCGGACCGAACTGGGAGGAACCCACCACTGGACTGAAGTCTCGCTGCTTTTTCGTATGTGGCACACAGAAAAAAGGGCAAAGCTTTGATGACACAATTCCTGACACTCTCTTAACCTTTTTTCATACCCCAAGAACACCTCTGACTTCCCCTGCCTTCAGCCAGCCAGTCCAAAGCTGTCTAAATCTCTACCCCTCTTATAAGTCAGGACTACCAAACCAAGAATTCCCAAACAACAGAACTGCTGCACCTTGCCTGGGGTGCTTTCTCTGGGGAGTTCACACGGCAGCCTTTTCCAATTTGACCGAGATTAAACCTAGGCCTGAATTTCATCCCTCGGCAGTTGGCTCTCTTAGTTTCTTTCTAAGGTTACCATTTAAATTCTCTCATTCTATGATTCTCTGAAAATCCCCAAGTAATTCATGCTTAGAACATAAGCTGCTGTGAAGAGCTGTAATTTTGAAGTACAATGATCCCCCAACTTGCCATACTCTATACACACTGCTTAATCCTACTAATAGCAGGGGTGGGCTGCTGGGGGTACACAGGTATTCAGGAGAACTGCTAGCTAAGATTCTGTGCAGTTTGGAGAACCCCCAAATCCCATTCCTGGCTGTCCCCTCCCCTCCCACCCCTCCCCTCTCCACCCAGGAATCCCCACGCGGGCCATTTTGGATGCAGGTATGTGCAGGGCATAGAAGCTTGGGGAGGGTGAAAAATGGGCCTACCAAAGTTCAGGAAGGCTACAAATAGGTCTGTTTCTGGTCTCCAGAGGGCCTCCGGAGCCTGGGGAGGCCGTTTTCACCCTCCCAGAGGCTCATGAAAAGCCTCCGGAGCCTGGGGAGGGCAAAAACACCCTCCCTCATGGTGCAGGATGATGACTAGGCAACGCCCACCATGGCCATGCCCACCCAGCAACCGGGCAGAGAACCCCTTGCTAAAATTTTTGAAGCCCAGCCCTGACTAATAGTAGCTGTGGCTATCCTCATAGCTCCCCATGAGTTTTATTTTATTTATTTATTTTATTTTATTTCGAATTTATATACCGCACCTTCTCCCGAGGGACTCAGGGCGGTGTACAGCCAGATAAAAACATACAATATAAACATTAAAAACAATTAAAAGAATATATACTAATTTGGCCCCAGTTTAAAATGACAAACCAATTAAAAATTAAAAATATTTAAAAATATGTTAAGCCAGCCTGGCTTGCTGAAAAAAGAAAGTTTTAAGGGCATGGCGGAAGGCACCGAGTTGTTCCAAGTGACAAGAGAAACGAGTCAGGAAAAGCAGTTTATATACTTAAATACACTAGAATAAACGAACACATTATATATTAACTTGTAGAGATGATCTGCCTGTCACACAAAGAACTCCAGTTTGCTCTAATGGTTAAGGCCCCCAAGCTAGAAAGCAGGAGACCGTAGGTTCGAGTCCCACCTTAGTCATGCAAGCCAGCTGGGTGACTTTAAGCTACTCCCTCTCTCTCTCTCAGCCCAACCCACCTCACAGGGTTGTCGTTGTTTTTGTGGTGAAAGTACGAAGTGTGTTGGATATGTTTGCCACTTTTGTAAAAAAAAGTAATAAAGGCAGGATACAAGCCAACCAACAAATAACATCTTGATGGCCAGGGACTTGAATATCCCTTAGTCCAGAGGTCACCAACCTTTCGGACCTCAGGGACCACTAAATTTATAATTTTAAATCCCGCGGACCACTAATGTGAATTTTTTAAAAAGATAAATAGCATATAAAAAATGCAAATATTTTTTCTGCAGACCACCAAAATTTTCTCATGGACCACCAGTTGGTGACCACAGTCCATTTAACTGTTGATTTAAAAGTGTATCAAACCTACCTGTTTGAGAATTGGTTTGGGAGTTGGACCACTTCTGTGATGGCTTCTGGATTCCTTTTTGCAACGCCACAGATGTCCAGCTTGCTATAACATTCTTCCTGCACTTCCGAAATCATACGCTGGAATGTGGAACATCGGCGAATGGCCAGGAACACCTTGGAGGTGACGCCGTTGGCAATGCATTTCAGACTCTCCTTTACAAAGGCCTTTCCCTGGACCAAGGAGGACAGCAACATGTAAGGAACTTGGTTAAAACCCCTGGGACAGTAACTGAGCCCTGATGATGTTACCTAGCTCAGATGTTATCAAGCTCAGAGAGCACCAAGGACCCCTCACGTCAATTTTTGTCATGAGTTTCAAACTCCCACCATTATTTCTCAGGGTTGTTCCTGAATTGTTCGGTATCGTTCCAAGGGGCAACTCTTGGAAATAGTTTTTTTTTTTATTATTTTTTAAATTTGATTTATATGCCACCTTCTCCGGAGACTCAGGGCGGCTTACAATGCGTTAAGCAATAGCCTTCATCCTTTTGTATATTTTATACAAAGTCAGCTTATTGCCTCCACAAACTGGGTCCTCATTTCACCTACCTTAGAAAGGATGGAAGGCTGAGTCAACCTTGAGCCTTGGAGAGATTCGAACCAGCAGAAATTGCAGGCAGCTGTGTTAATAACAGGGTGCGTAGACCACTGTACTATCAAGGCTCTTCAAGAAAAGTTACTGCGTCTAAGAGTTGTTCAATGATGGAGCAGAGAGAATCAGGAGCTGCCCCTTTTTGCTGAAAAATGATGATCTGTTGGGAATGCCTGCAGGCAGGAATCTTAACCACGATTCCCAAAGACTCTTTCTGGGCTTATATTCTATAAACTCTATTTATATATGAGAGTATATATACTATATACCAGTGATGGCGAACCTTTTAGAGACTGAGTGCCCAAACTGCAACCCAAAATCCACTTATTTATCGCAAAGTACCAACACGGCAATTTAACTTGAATAATGAGGTTTTACTACCTAAAATAATGATGAGCGAGGCAGAATTCAGCTAATCGCTCTGAGAAAAATGTGATAAATGCATTTTTATCCCCCTTTATTTTTTTTCTCCTTTTGAAATATTACGTATAGCAACAATAAAATAGAAAAACTTTTCTAATATCATTTCTTTCCCTCCCCCTCTCTCTTTCCCTCCCCCCTTTCCCCCATTTCTCTTTCCCTCTCTTTCTCTTTCTCTCCTCCTCTCTCTTTCCCTCCCTCCCTCCCTGTCTCTTTTCCCCCTCTCTTTGTATTTCTCTCTCCTTTCACTCCCTCTCTGTTTCCCTCCCCCTTTTCCCCATTTCTCTTTCCCTCTCTTTCTCTTTCCCTCCCTCCGTCTCTTTTCCCCCTCTGTCTTTCTCTCTCCTCTTTCCCTCCCTCTCTCTTTCCCTCCCCCTCTTTCCCTCCTGTTTCTCTCTTTTCGTCTCTTTCTCTTTCCCTCCTCCTCTCTTTCCCTCCCTCCCTCCCTGTCTCTTTCCCCCTCTTTGTCTTTCTCTCTCCTCTTTCCCTCCCTCTCTCTTTCCCTCCCCCTCTTTCCCTCCTGTTTCTCTCTTTTCGTCTCTTTCTCTTTCCCTCCTCCTCTCTTTCCCTCCCTCCCTCCCTCCCTGTCTCTTTCCCCCTCTCTTTGTCTTTCTCTCTCCTCTTTCCCTCACCCTCTCATTTTCTCTCTCTTTCTCTCCGTCTCTGACTCTTTCCCTGTATCTTTCTCTCTCATCTATCTCATCTATCTATCTATCTATCTATCTATCTATCCATCCATGCATCCATCCTCTCCTGCCCAGTTTCACGTGTTGTGTGAATCTAACCACTTAGGCTGTGGAGGGGGAGTGGAGGCTGGCAGGCAAAGCCAAGCGTTAGAGATCCACGGCAAATAAGGAAACTCAAACCTGGATACTGTCAGGGAGACATCCCCACTTCCCTCTCCCACTCTCCCCACGCGATGGGGGTCTGGGCAGCCTGAGCACAGCTCCCTCCTCGGAGGTGACCAGCAAGCAAACAAATATGGCGCTCCAGGTGGGAAGTGGCAGCACGGAGCTCCACCTCTGGCTGGTGAGAGTGGAGCAGGCAAGGCATGCACCTTCCCTGCTGCTGCCATGGCGCTGGCACCAGCCAGGAGGGATGCGTGAGCCGAACGTTTGGAGCCATGCTTGGCAGAGTTTGCAAGCGGGCTCGGCGGGGTTTAGCGGGGAGGGAGACCCCCGACCTGTTTGGTTCGCTTCAGCGTGAGGTGGGAATGCAGAAGGCAGAGGAAATCCATGCCTCTTGGCGTTCAGCTCTCAAAGACTCCTTTGGGGTGACTGGGAGGGCAAGGGGCGGGGCCAGTCAGTGGTGGGTTAGGATTAGGGAGGGAGCCGTACCGGAGGGACGAAAGAACCCACGGCTTGCCGACACCCACCCTAAGGCTGGGGCGATGGCACACATGCCCGCAGAGAGGCTCTGCATGCCACCTCTGGCACATGTCCCATAGGTTCATCACCAGGGCTATATACTATACTATATAGCAATAGCACTTAGACTTATATACCGCTTCATAGTGCTTTACAGCCCTCTCTAAGCGGTTTACAGAGTCAGCCTCTTGCCCCCAACAATCTGGGTCCTCATTTTACCCACCTCAGGCTGAGTCAAGCTTGAGCCTGGTGAGAATCGAACTGCCAAACTGCTGGCAGCCAGTGATCAGCAGAAGTAGCCTGCAGTACTGCACTCTAACCACTGCGCCACCACGGCTCTTTTTAGAGTATACTCTATATCCGTGATGGCGAACCTATGGCACGCGTGCCACAGGTGGCACTGAGAGCCATATCTGTGGGCACGCAAGCGTTGCCCTAGCTCAGTTCCAGCACGCATGCATGCGCCAGCCAGCTGATTTTCAGGCCTTCCGGGCCCACCGGAAGTTGATAAACTGGCCGTTTCCGGCCTCCAAAGGGCCTCCGGCGAGTGGGGAAGCCCATTTTCGCCCTCCCCAGGCTCCAAGAAAGCCTCTTGAATTATGGGTGTGGGCACACGTGTGCGCGACCCCTCCACACTCCCTCTGCTTTTGGCACGTGACGGCAAAAAGGTTGGCCATCACTTCTCTATATACTCTATTTAAAGTAAGTAACAGTGCATAAAACTGATTTTATAAATGCACACAAGGTTTACTTAACAACACGAGGCCATGCTATTTATAAAATATAAAATGTATTACACTTTTTTAAAAATTATACTAATAATAATTCCAAAGGAGAAGCCAGTGATGGATTTCCTTATGCATACTGTTGTCACAAGAACCTTTCTGTGCCAGGAGCTTCCTGTGGGTAGGAAACATCAAGCAACAAAATGAACTCATCCAGTCTTCTCTTATATTCGATTCTCCCCAAATATTACGTGTCCCAGGATGATGTTGCTGGATCCAATTGGAGTTGGTCAACAGGGCCATAGATTTAGTTTTCTAAACTTTGGGACTCGTGCTGGAGCCCATCTTCAGGAACTTCTGTATGTGTGCACACATAGAGACGTGAGGATGGGCTCCAGTATGAATCTGAAAGCCCAGAAGACCAGGGGTCTCCAACCTTGGCAACTTTAAGACTTGTGGACTTCAACTCCCAGAATTCCTCAGTCAGGTTTGCTTTGCTGGCTAAGGAATTCTGGGAGTTGAAGTCCACAAGTCTTAAAGTTGCCAAGGTTGGAGACCCCTGCAGAAGATGATGATCTGGATTTACAACAAGTCAACAGGACACTGAAGTATGAGAATTCAATGGATCTGGAAGACACCATGTTTGGGAAAGCTAGTTTAGGAGCTGTCAAATGCCAAGGACCAATTTTGCATTTCCCAGTAGCTTCACCATTTGCAAGTCTAGTCCTCTACATCAGGGGTCGGCAGACAAGGAGACTTCCTCTAATAAAGAACCTCCAGATAGTTTGCTGAAGTTCAGCAAGATTTGATAATAGCTTCACAACAGTAACTTTTCAGCTCTCTTTAAATGATTCACGAAAGGTCAGCCATTATTTCATTTTCTACTCTCTCATTGTTCCTCATCTCCAAAACAGGCAAATTTGGGTAGGATGGCTTCACTTCAGCTAGGAGCCAGAGTTTATTAATCATGATGGTTAACCAAAATCAGATAAGCTCTCCTTACCAAAATACACGAAGCTGACAGTTAGCAACTAAGTTTGCCGCAGCTGTTACTCAAATAAGGAAAGGAGAAACAGTGGTTTTCGTGTCGATAAACATGATGTCTATTTTAGTATCAGAAAGTCCTATGTTGAGGAATGACAGTTATTCTGAAGGCTGGTGTGTTAATGTTCTATTTTTCATTAACATCAATTGTTTGCAGCCTCCCACATCTCAAGTCACAAGGGAAGGAACCTCAGACCAGTTCCAAAATCAGGAGCAGTCAGGGACACTGCAGAGGGAGTGAAAAGCATCTGTCCCCTTTGCCAACTCACAACCCTAAAGCAAGCTGAAAACACCCTTCCCCCCACCAACAAATTCTGAAGCACTCTGGGAATGAAGTAGAAAAATGAAAGCCCCATTTGAGATGTTTCGGCAGAATGGAATGGACATTGCTGGAATTCTCCAGATGAAGAACCAAATGCTTCCTAATGACATTCAAGACTTCTTCCAAGCTTGAGTTGCTGGAAGAATCTAAGGGGTGCTTAGATTAGCCCAAAGAAATGCAATAAATAGTTATAGTTTGGAAGTCTTTATTGCAACGTCAAGCGTGCTTCTCAACAAAAGGCTTTGTCAGGCTTGGAAGCCATCTTTTGCGTTGGTTCTTCAGGCCTGCCACATTTACTACTGTGGGAAACTGGGAGGGGGGGATTGTATGGAGCCAGGATGATATGTAGTCATAATAACATTCCTTTCTCAGAGAGTCAAGGACATCTTGCCCTGCACCTGGACGGTTGGAACTGGGAGGCATCTCCAGTTGGGATGGTGCTTTGTTTGGATCATGTTATGGACATGTGGGTGCTGGGCAGGGACTTGAACTTTCACTTGGGTGGGGAAAACCTGGAAGCTTTCAGATTCGGGTTTTCCCAGATGTGCCAATATGACATCTCTAATAAAATGGAACTTTGAGGAAACTCAAGCCTCGGAGTTTTCTTTCGTTGGGGGTGTTACTTGGAACCCTGACAAGGCTGTTATTCCCACAATCAATGATCAGTGGCCCAGATTTTCAATAGCAGAACAAACATGTAT